CCCCAAAACCCCAAAACCCCAATCTTCAATATTCATTGCTAACATTGATTATTAATTATTTTTAATGATAATTACGATCTGATTTAAATAATCAAGCATTATTTTGCTTATTAACATATCTGATGCTTCACTCCTGAACCATACTCTCGAACTACTTGAAATCTTTGATTTTAAGTCCATCAAGATCATACACCTGCTCGTAGTACTCCATACGTTTCTACATATTCTCAAGCTTTCTAAGCTTATCAGACTGCTCCTTCGCAATCCTCTTGAGTCTTTCCTTCTCCCACAACTCAGTCTTGTCCGAGCCTTGACCTGCGGCATCCTCTGAACTGGCTCCACTCATCTGTGAAACTTTTCTATCTTTCTTGATTATACTATCCTTTCTATTGGTAAAAGTAAATCTATTTTCAAGAGGATTAATACCACCCTTAGGGGTTTTTCTCAATGCTCTCGGCCCGTTATTGCTCTCAATCTCATAACTCTTCAAATTGCAAGTGGGACATCTTAGCTTTTCAATACGCCTTTAATATGCTATCTCACTTTCATTCTTCTTTTTACGTGAGAAATGCCTCTCCAAGCATGCTAAATGGAATGTGTGCTTGCATGCAAAGACCTTGATAGGCTAAGAGTAAGTATCTGGGTTATCTCCTTCCTACTCCTCCTCGTTTCTTGAGGCAAGCAAGTACTGCTAATCTACCAGATCTGTGCTGTTCTCTCCATGCATAAAACTATCCATGTATCTTTTGCACATAATACAAATTCTTTGTCTAAATAGTATACCACGACTTCTTGACTGTTAAAATATCTAGAACAGCTCACTGTTAACTTTGTAAATAGCGTTGTTAGAATTTCTCAACACTTGTTATTCAGATGTTGTCCCAGAAAATTGCTTAATAATAATGTGCCCAATATCTTTGAATTAAAGTCTTCTATTATGTTTTAGCATGTGATTCAAAAAGCTCTAAAAAGGTATTGATCGAATAAGAGCCTCTGAAAACACTGAGAATCTATCTCTGAGAAATGACTTGACATAAAACTTATTTTTAAGTGATTCCAAAGAGAGTAGCTCAATGAAAATATCGATGACTATAAACCATATCTACTCTTCTTTCTCGTGTTCTACTTCCTTGTAATGTTTTTTACAAATCTTTACGATTTGTCTCAGCTGGTTATCAAATTGTGTAGCTTATTCCAAAAGAGTATTATGTATCTAGAATGTAATATCAATATCATGAGTGTAGGCAAAGAACATTTCAACCTTTAGTTTGGTATAGTCAATCTTATTCCTTAAGATTTAAAGTCCTTGCTCCACACATTCATAATATTTCCCAACCTTACGATTAAGCAAAAATGTAGAATCCAGTTGGCTATATTCTTAACATATTTCTAGGCAATCCTCAATAGGATAGTATGAATTTTTAATCATTTTTTAAACAATTTAAAGAACCTTTGCTTGTTAGAATTGGCAGCATAGCCTGAGATGCAGCTTAAGCAACTCTATATACTTCTTAGCATCTTTGGTATTATTGGACTAGAGTCCATGATTTTTAATAGTTTTTTCAATGGCATGCTCTTTGATCCTTAATAGTGTATCCAAATATTTTAGTTGTAACTCAGGTTCTCTGTAGAGAAAATCAACCATTTCTTTATGCTATTATTCATAGAACTCATCAACTAGCTCGATTGTCTCAGTAGGATTCATTGGTAATATTTTGCCAATATTTTATTAAACTTCTCTTTTGAATTGTTCATAAACGTTCTTGTCATACTAGCTTTAGGAAGCTTTATCTTAAAGGAAAATAATTTTTTCTCTCACCCATCTGATAACTTTTCTGGATTAAACTTCAAAAGTCCAAATTTGGTTGATTTTAAATTCGTTAATAAACATCATCAAGCATTTCAAGTAGTCCTCTCTTTTTTCCATTAATAAAACTTTGACTTGATTGCTAAAAAACAGTCATTAATCAGTAAAAAATCTTACAATTAGGTAGGTTCAGCTAATTTAGATAGCTCCATAATTTAGAAATTATCCATTGGCTCACTTTTTTCTATAAGATTCATGATGTCGCCTTCTGCCTTTACTATATATCTGAACTCAGGTAAGTCTTAGTAAATCATCTTGAACTTTCTATACTTGTTCAATTTCTCATTCACACCAGCATTTTTCTAATCGAATGTAGTCTGCAACTTTTTATTATATTCTAAATATCTCTTATACTACTGGAGTACTTCTCTAGCTAAGTTGTAGTAGTATAAGTTATCAAGCCCTCTTATGTATGATTTCGCAATTACACTGGCTGCATAGAAAATATACTAGTGCTTGATACTATCCTTAGTCAGTATATTCATGCAGCATTGATCCAAACTTTTTACCAAGAGAGCGTGATTACTTACTTTCTAAGCCAAATATACTTGCTATTACTAATTTAAATCAGCTTCATTTGGTTCATCTCTTCCTTGATCATAAAGCTCACATGGTTTACTAGGATAAAACAGAATGGATATAGTTTGAAAGAAGGCGTCTGCATCTATCTCTAAAAGCACCTTAAGGATGTCATGGGATTGAAGAAGCTCAATAATATCATGAATGTATGTTCTCCAGCTGCTTGTCTTAATAGTTCCATATGGAAACTTAAGACCATTAAGGAACATTCTTATCACCCAGAGTATCTTATAGCCTAGGTAGACTTGAGATTTTTCTACTTTCTCCTTCTCTTTACTGTTGTATGGAAACTCCTTAAGATTTTATATGTCTATTAGTAGCCCTTGATTCTTTTTACCCGCTTTCTTATAAAGATCAAATAATGAAAACAAGATCTATACACATGATGTGTTCTATAGTAATAAGTTAGGAGGAAAGTTATTATACATCTTTTTTCTCAAATACCTAAGAGTAAAGGTAAAGGATTGCAGTAGTCAAGAAATTTTACTCACTATAATGAATGAACTCAAGGACAATAGTTTTGGGACACTAAGCTAAGTTTAGATTTACTATGATTCTTTCTAATGCTTCTGCTTTTTGACTATCTTTGTAATATTTTAATACGTGATTTTATATGACTTCATTTGGTAGCTCCCACTCCTAAAATTTTCCTGCCATAATAAATGGCTCAAGTTCATGAATAAAAGCATCTTCTAATTTTTCCTCTTTGAAAAGAATAAATAGGTCATAGAATAGGAACTTTTAGTCTTTGAGCTCCACACAGAACTCTATAGCAATCCTGATTAGTGTTTGATACTTTATCGCTTTTTCATCTTTGAAGTCCTGATCTTAAAGGCTTTAAATAAGAGTTGCTTACTATTCATTAATATTTGACTTATTTTTCTAAACTGATCCAGTCTCTCTTCTAAGCATGCTCGCACCTTGTCTGGTTTTGGATATTACTTGCTGGATAATCTCTCTCACAAGAAGTTTAATCTCATCTTTAAGCTTTTTTTCCCTCAGAACTATACTATCTGGGAGACCTGAATAGCCTTTTACATTGCCTTTATAAATATCCAATGCTCTTGAGAATACCTACACTAAATCATCTTCTACTACTTTTTTGAATTCATAAATACTCTACTGCCAAGTCAAATGCTGGCATTGCTATACATTTTTAATTGTTAGCGCAACAATCTTTCCTTTAAAAAATTTGATAGTCTAATGATATAGACATCCATATTCAGACTGCTATAATTATGAAGAAATCCTCAATCCATATTCAAGCTCCACAGATTGAGTTAGTTCCTCTAGTTTATTTGATTTTTTAGTCACTCTTCTTTTCCTCTTCAGCTCTCTTTCAAACTTCACCTTTTCTTCATCTGGATCATAAGTGTTAGGTATGAATGCAGAAATATTTAAAATTCTAATCTCCTAAACTTTTGTGACTATGAGAAGTGTACTATCTGAAAAGAACTATATTTGCTCAATATCTAGGCTTGGCTCAAGAAATGCGTCCGAATCATGTTATTGCAGCTCTTCTATAGACTGAAATGCTTATTCAAAGTTTTCAGTTTCCTTTGTTGCGGATTCATCTTCGAATTCAAACAAGTCTGATTTTTACTTTTGCATTCTCAAAGGGTTACTTTAACTTCCTGCAGCTGCCTAAATAGACTAATTTTAAAGGTCACTCATTCTTGACATTGTCCCTCTTCTTGAGAAAGACCCAGGATGCTTTACATTTGAAATTGCATCTAAACCGAAATTCCTAATTATATAATATCCATCTGTAATAAATGGCTAATGCTGGTTAGCTCCTTCATTGTCAAAAAGAACAATTAACTAGATTAGAGGACCCCATGCTATCGCTAAAATTGAATGTGGACGATCTTAAATTGCTGGTGATTGGCCATATCCCCATGATAGTGAAGGAACTTTCGCCTAAATTTTGGTAAACTCTTATATTTTTTTGTTAAAAAATTTCATAGGTCTCATGTATGTAACAAGTTCCTAATGCTTACTTTGCTTCGCTTCTATTATCTAAACATGTTCAGCGTTTCCCAATGCAATAATAGAAACATCATCGAGAGGATGTTTGCCATGGTAATTAGATCTAAAACATGATAATAAATATTAAGCTTACTAAAATCTGCAAGCTAAAGATGCATAGATAACTCCATCATATTTACTTGGATCGATAATTGTGTGCTTAGATGCTTTGAGCACAAATAATACTTTGGTGATTGTATTTATAAGTACTCTACCTTGCTAATCTATTGAAATAAACATCCATGCTTATTTATCTTCTAATGCAGCTTCATCTTTTTTGCCAGAAAAAATACCTGAGTCCCCTTGCCAATCACAAAATTTGACATTCATAATCGGGACTTTATGATGATCTTTAATAACTTTTACTGATTTTTTAGGCTCTTATATGTCAATCAAGACTAATTGCCCTCTCTCATAGCCCAGAATGACATATTCAGGTCTTAAAGGATGAACATCCATTGACACAACTGCATTGCCAAGGAAATCCTTAGATTTTTCACTAAAATTTGAATATTCTTCCTCTGTATCTCTATCAAACATCCAAAGTTGTCCTTCTGAGTTGCCAATCAAAACAAGTGAATCAGTTAAAGCAATACAAGTGGCTTACGATTACGAGAACTTTTACTCTTTAAGCATTTTATTCGAGAGTGAATTCATTGTTTAAAACTATGACAGAATTCTTATCTTGATATCTTTTGTAGAGACATTTTGCAGAGAAATGACGCTATTTTATTTGATGTGCTCTTAAGCGACCTCTCTATGCCTTCTCTCATTCCAATCAATTATTTTAATGATGTCTTTATAGTCCCATTCATCTTTAGTTAATCTTTGAATTATCTCAGTTCGTTTTTTACTTTTGGGGCTCATTTCTCTCATTAGAACATCTTGATGCATTCCTAGGTAGAAATCTTTGCTATAGTCGTCATTGTATTTTATCCTTAAAACCTCATCTGTAATCTTTTTCTTCTCGTCTTCCAATTACTCAGTATCCTCTGTATTAGTGGTTAGAATATTAGTAACAGATTTCACGATTGAATCTCTTAATTCTCGCATTTGCAAAAGTTGAGGATCTTAACTGTCCAATGCTGATTCTAAGAATGAATTTCCCCCTCCATCTTTAGCTTCAATAGCTTCTCTATGCTTTTTAATTATGTCATCTAGATATTAATTAGGATCATCTTACTCATCCAAATTATCCTCATTCAAACTCAATACATCTGGCTCCAAATCAACTTCCTATTTCTTTATCTCAACTTTTTTTAAATCTAAATCTGAACCACTGCTTGAACTTTAATCTGCTTCCTTGAATCCTTTATAATCGTTATCACTCTTTTTCTCAGATATACAGTCCTGCTGTTTCTGATCTTCCTCATCGTGAGCAAATAATTTATCCATTCTTTTTTGCATATCTTCCCTGCCCATATGCACTGTCATTCTCTTTTTATCAGCATTTTTCTTGATTGAATTAATGCTGAAATCCCCATCAAGCATGTGCTTTTCAAGGTCGTGCTAGATCTATTCTTAAATTGCGTGGCTAATCCTTTTTTGGTCTTTACCAGATTTATAGTTGACTGGAGACGTCCTTCTATTTCTCTGCCTGTTATTTTTTAGCTTTTCTTCAAAGAATCGATCCATATAGTCTACATCATTGGTTTCAAGTTTTTCTTCTTTATCCTCTAATTATTAGAGGATATCAAATTGATTTTCATGAGTGCTTTTGACAACAAAATCCTATTATTTATTGCTACTGGTGCTAACTCTACTATCTTTCACTAAATATATAATTGGATAAGATAAAAGTTATGCTTACAATTATTGTTAATTAGAAATGATCCTTTAAAACTTTGGTTCTCCCTCTTCGATGACTATCTCTTGTCTCTTATTATACTTTCAAACTCTTCATCATCAGCATCTTCAACCCTCATTTCCTCATTCCCATCATCTTAAGGTTCATTTCCCCCATCCAAATAGTTATTGCTAATAATGAAATCCTGAGTAAATGATGATGCATCGTAACCTCCATCATCTCCCATAATATCATCTCGCTATGTATCGATTACTATATTTCGCACCCGAGTATTTTAGGTTATTTGGAATTATTCTGATTTGCGACTTGCCATTAAAATAAATATACTACTATTCAGAGAAAATAATTTTACTTTTTTGACTATTTAAAGATATTAATATATCTTCAGAAAAGCCTCGATTTTGAAGGCGCGGGGTTTTGGGGTTTTGGGGTTTTGGGGTTTTGGGG